TATTCATTTATTTTATTTTTAAATTATATATTCAATGGAATTATATTTAATTTAATATTCATTTATTCTGTAGTTAAATTATATTTCATATTCCATTTAATTGTATTTATTTTAATAGTCAATTGATTTTATATTTAAATTATATTTCATAGTCAATTCAATTTAATTTAATTGAGGGACGGCTTTCGCAGCAACATATCCGCTCTGGGTTTTAGTCCAATCGCAGAACGAGAACAAGGGGAAACCCGGTCAGGGCTGTGAAAAGAACAGTCCTTCTTTTAATAGACCTTCCTGATAATATTTCCTATGTACCGATAACTCCACAAGGTCAGATAGACTTGGCTTTAGATCAATACACGGCTTTGGCTATATATATACTCCAGGTGTTCCTCTGACCATGCCTAAACTGCTATCCACTCACCATGTTCAAGCTCCTCTTTGTGGTTCTGTTTGCGGGCTATGGTAAGTATTAGTGCATCTACACTGTGGAATTAATGCAGTTCAGCACCACTTTAGTCATTTCATCAGGTCTTTAGCACTTATAGAATCATAGAATCATTATTGTTTCTAGCCTGAGCTCATTTTGTGCTTTAGCCTTGCAGACCTTTTCCCTACAGGAGTTGCCTATTTGTTTGAATTCTTTTTTGGTGATTTCTCCCTTTTTCCACTTCTTGTGCATGTCTCTTTTGTGTCTTAGCACAGTTAGAAGTTCTTTGGACATCCATTCTGGCTTCTTTGCACTTGTCCTATTTTGTGCCTTGAGTATTTCACTCTTGAGAAATTCCCATCCATCCATAACTCCCTTGTCTTTCACTATCTGTGTCCACTGAATGCTGCTCAGTGTTTCTTTCATTTTTCGGAAATCAGCTCTCCTAAAATGCAGGTTGACTTGTCTAGTTTTGGCCTTCCTTTGTACCTCAAATTGCAGGAGCACATAGTCACTTGCCCCTAAGGATCTGACCACTTCAACTGCATCGATCAGGTCCTCCGCATTTGTTAGGATGAGATCAAGAGTAGCCGACCCCCTTGTTGCCTCTTCTACCTTCTGGCTATATATATATACTCCAGGTGTTCCTCTGACCATGCCTAAACTGCTATCCACTCACCATGTTCAAGCTCCTCTTTGTGGTTCTGTTTGTGGGCTATGGTAAGTATTAGTGCATCTACACTGTGGAATTAATGCAGTTCAGCACCACTTTAGTCATTTCATCAGGTCTTTAGCATTTATAGAATCATAGAATAATTATTGTTTTTAATGTCCCTGGCAAGCCTGAGCTTGTTTTGTGCTTTAGCCTTGCGGACCTTTTCCCTACAGGAGTTGGCTATTTGTTTGAATTCTTCTGTGGTGATTTCTCCCTTTTTCCACTTCTTGTGCATGTCTCTTTTGTTAGAATTTCTTTGGACTTGTCCTAATAATAATAATAATAATAATAATAATAATAATAATAATAATAGATGTATAGCCATTCTGAGTCTCCTTTGAGAGAGATAAAGCAGGGCATAATAATAATAATAATAATAATAATAATAATAATAATAATAATAATTATTATTATTATTATTATTATATTGTAACTTTGAGCTTCGAGGGAGATAAAGTTGGATACAGCAATAATAATAATAATAATAATAATAATAATAATATATAGACAGCTGCTTTGAGTGTCCTTTGGGAGAGATAAAGTGGGTTATGAATAATAATAATAATAATAATAATAATAATAATAATAATAACAACAACAACAACAATAAATACATTTTCACTTTGAGTCTTTTTCGAGGGAGATAAAGTTGGATACAATAATAATAATAATAATAATAATAATAATGACAGACAGACAGACAGATAGATAGATACATAGCCGCTCTGTGTCTCCTTTGGGAGAGACAAAGCAGGATAATAATAATAATAATAATAATAATAATAATAATAATAATAATAATAAATACATTGTAACTTTGAGTCTCCTTCGAGGGAGATAAAGTTGTATACAATAATAATAGTAATAATAATAGACAGACGGATACATAGCCGCTCTGTGACAAAGCAGGGTATGAATAATAATAATAATAATAATAATAATAATAATAATGGAATAATAATAGATAGATAGATAGATAGATAGATAGATAGATAGATAGACAGCTGCTTTGAGTGTCCTTCGGGAGAGACAAAGCAGGGTATGAATAATAATAATAATAATAATAATAATAATAATAATAATAATGGAATAATAATAATGGAATAATAATGGAATAATAATAATTATGGAATAATATTGGAATAATAATAATAATAATAATGGAATAATAATAATAATAATAATGGAATAATATTGGAATAATAATAATAATAATAATAGATAGATAGATAGATAGACAGACAGACAGACAGACAGACAAAACAGACAGATAGATAGATAGATAGATAGATAGATAGACAGACAGCTGCTTTGAGTGTCCTTCGGGGGAGACAAAGCAGGGTATGAATAATAATAATAATAATAATAATAATAATAATAATAATAGATACATAGCCACTTTGAGTCCCCTTTGGGAGGGATAAAGCTGGGTATAAATATAATAATACTAATACTAATATTCCGTACTCCATTAATTCACTGTCGTTGCATTGAACTTCCTTCTTTCCTTCCTTCCTTCCTTCCTTCCTTCCTTCTTTTTTCTTTTTCTTTCTCTTTCTTTCTTTCCTTCCTTCCTCCTTCCTCCTTCTCCTCCTCTCCCTCCCTCCCTCCCTCCCTCCCTCCCCCTTTCTTTCTTTCTTCTTTCTTTCTTTTCTTCTTTCTTTCTTCTTCCTTCCTTCTTCCCTCTTTCTTTCTTCCTTCTTTCTTCCTTCCTTCTTCCTTCCTTCCTTCCTTCTTCTTCCTTCCTTCTTCCTTCCTTCTTTCTTTCTTTCTTTCTTTCTTCCTTCCTTCCTTCCTTCCTTCTTTCCTTCCTCCTTCCTTCTTCTTCTTCCTTCCTTCTTCCTTCCATCTTTCCTTTCTTCCTTCCTTCCTTCTTTCCTTCCTTCCTTCCTTCTTCCTTCCTTCCTTCCTTCCTTCCTTTCTCTTTCTTTCTTTCTTTCTTTCTTTCTTTCTTTTTTTTTTTTCCTTCTTCTTCCTTCCTTCTTTTCTTCCTTCCTTCCTTCTTCTTCTTTCTTTCTTTTTCTTTTCTTCTTCTTTCTTTCTTTTCTTCCTTCCTCCCTTTCTTCTTCCCTTCCTTCCTTCCTTCCTTCCTTCCTTCCTTCCTTCCTTCCTTCCTTCCTTCCTTCCTTCCTTCCTTCCTTCCTTCCTTCCTTCCTTCCTTCCTTTCCTTCCTTTCTTTCCTTCTTTCCTTTCTTTCTTTCTTTCCTTCTTTTTTTTTTCTTTTTCTTTTTCTTTCTTTCCTTCTTTCTTTCGTTCTTTCTTTCTTTCTTTCTTTCTTTCTTTCCTTCTTTCTTTCCTTCTCCTTCCTTCCTTCCTTCCTTCCTTCCTTCCTTCCTTCCCTTCCTTCCTTCCTTTCTTCCTCTTCTTTCCCTTCCTCCCTTTCTTTCTTTCTTTCTTTCTTCTTTCTTCTTTCTCCTTCCTTCCCTTCCTTCCTTCCTTCCTTCCTTCCTTCCTTCCTTTCTTTCCTTCTTCCTTCCTTTCCTTCCTTCCTTCCTTCCTTCTTCCTTTCTTCTTTCCTTCCTTTCCCTTTCTTTCTTTCTTCTTTCTTTCTTTCTTTCTCCTTCTTCCTTCCTTCTTCCTTCCTTCCTTCTTCCTTCCTTCCTTCCTTCCTTTCTTCCTTCTCCCTCTTTCCTTCCTTCCTTCCTTTCTTTCTTCCTTTCTTTCTTTCCTTCCTTTCCTTTCTTTCTTTCTTTCTTTCTTTCTTTCTTTCTTTCTTTCTTTCTTTCTTTCTTTCTTCCTTTGTTCTTTCTCTCTCAGCCCACGGCTGTGGCAAACCGGCCTATTTGCCCAACGTTTCGCGGGTTGTCGGCGGCGAAGATGCGAAGCCCCACAGCTGGCCTTGGCAGGTAAGATTTACTTGATTGATCTTTGGAACTCCCTGCCACTAGATGTAGTTGTTGGCTTTTTCCAAATGGCAAAAAAAGCCTAATAATAATAATAATAATAATAATAATAATAATAATAATAATAATAATGAATGTGTTAATGTGACCAAATGCATCCGGTTCAAGCCCCCTTTCCGCCAGGCATGGAAGGAAGGCACCATCCGATCCTTCCCGACAGATGACCAGCCTACCTCAGTTTGAAATATTTCCAATGAACGTTTCTATTGGAGAAATCCTAGCTCGTGCTTAATAGGAATAATAATAATAATAATAATAATAATAATAATAATAATAATAATAAATAGAGTTGGAGGAGACACCATATAACCCCTCCCAGCAGATGGCCATCCAGCTCATGCTTGGTAGGAATACTAATACTAATACTATTATTATTATTAATAATAATAATAATAGAGTTGGAGGAGACACCATACGAGCCCTCTCAGCAGATGGCTATCCAGCTCATGCTTGGAAAGGATAATAATAATAATAATAATAGAGTTAGAGGAGACACCATATAACCCCTCCCAGCAGATGGCCGTCCAGCTCATACTTGGTAGGAATAATAATAATAATAATAATAATAATAATAATAACAATAATAATAATAATAATATAATAATAATAATAATAATAATAATAATAATAATAATAATAATAGAACCATGGAATCCTAGAGTTGGAAAAGACACCATACAAGCCCTCCTAGCAGATGGTCATCCAGCTCATGCTTGGTAGGGATAATAATAATAATACTAATACTAATAATAATAACAACAATATAATAATAATAATAATAATAATAATAATAATAATAATGGCCATCTAGCTCATGCTTGGTAGGGATAATAATAATAATAATAATAATAGTAATAGTAATAATAACAATAATAATAACAATATAATAATAATAATAATAATAATAATAATAATAGAAGCATGAAGTCCTAGAGTTAGAAAAGACACCATACAAGACCTACCAGCAGATGGCCATCTAGCTCATGCTTGGTAGGGATAATAATAATAATAATAATAATAATAATAATATAACAATAATAATAACAATATAATAATAATAATAATAATAATAATAATAATAATAATAATAGAACCATGGAATCCTAGAGTTGGAAAATTCACCATACAAGCCCTCCCGGCACATGGTCATCTAGTTCATGCTTGGTAGGGATAACAACAATAACAATATAATAATAATAATAATAATAATAATAATAATAATAATAATAGAGTTGGAAGAGACCTCATGGACCATCCAGTCCAACCCTCCCCCCCCCCCCACACACACCAAGAAGCAGGAAAATAATAATAATAATAATAATAATTGGTAATGGGTTTGCTTTGCAGGTCTCCCTCCAGTATGATAAGAGCGGGGTCTGGGCCCATACCTGCGGTGGGACCCTCATTGACTCCAATTGGGTTTTGACGGCCGCCCATTGCATCAGGTAAGCAGAATGTTATGTGCATTGGCCAAAATGGTTGGCCACTTTGAGTCCCAGTGGTGATGGGATGTAGTGTGGGTTATGAGGTCTCTGTGTGCCAAGTTTGGTCTTTATCAGTCATTGGATGAGGGTCACAGTGGTCTTGGGAGGTAAGTGGAGGAACTTCAAGTCCCATCATCTGTGGTCCACCCTCATTGATAATGGACCAGGATGTAGTGTGGGTTATGAGATCTCTGTGTGCCAAGTTTGGTCTTTATCGGTCATTGGATGAGGGTCACAGTGGTCTTGGGAGGTGAGTGGAGGAACTTCAAGTCCCATCATCTGTGGTCCGCCCTCATTGATAATGGACCAGGATGTAGTGTGGGTTATGAGATCTCTGTGTGCCAAGTTTGGTCTTTATCGGTCATTGGATGAGGGTCACAGTGATCTCAGAGAGTGAGTGAAGGTACTGCAAGGCCCATCATCCGTAGTCCATTCTCGTCCAAACCACACCAGAATGTTGAGTGGGCCATGGGGTGTCTCTGTGCCAAGTTTGGTCTTTATTGGTAATGGGATGAGTGTCACTGTGGTCTCAGAATGTGAATGAAGGTACTGAAAGTTCCATCATCCATGGTCCGCTCTCCTCCAAACAGCACGAGGATGTAGAGTGGGTCATGGAGGCTCGGTGTGCTAAATTTGGTCTTGATCAGTCATTGGATGAGGATCACAGCAGTCTCAGGAAGTGAGTGGAGGTACTTCAAGTCCCATCATCCATGGTCCAACCTCTTCCAAACTGCAGCAGAATGTAGAGTGGGGCATGAGGGCTCCGCATGCCAAGTTTGGTCTTGATTGGTCATTGGATGAGGGTCGCAGTGGTCTCGGGAAGTGAGTGGAGGAACTTCAAGGTCCATCATCCATGGTCCACCCTCCTCCAAACTGCACCAGGATGGAGAGTGGGTCATGGGGTCTCTGTGTGCCAAGTTTGGTCTAGATCAGTCATTGGATGAGGGTTGCAGCAGTCTTGGGGAGTGAGTGGAGGTACTTGAAGTCCCATCATCCATGGTCTGTTCTCCTTGAAAGTGCACCAGGATGTAGAGTGGGTCATGGGGACTCTGTGTGCCAAGTTTGGTCTTGATCAGTCATTGGATGAGGGTCACAGCAGTCTCAGGAAGTGAGTGAAGTGACTGCAAGTCCCATCATCCATCTCCAAATTCTTCCAAACCACACCAGGATGTAGGGTGGGTCAGGCGGGCTCTCTGTGTGAATTGTGGTCCTGATCCATCATTGTTGGCAGTTGTAATGATCTCAGGAAGGGAGTGCAGGTATTGCAAGTCCCATCATCCATTGTCCACCCTCCTCCAAACTGCAGCAGGATGTAGATAGGGTCATGGGGTCTCTGTGTGCCAAGTTTGGTCTTGATCAGTCATTGGATGAAGGTCACAGCAGTCTCAGAAAGTGAGTGACGGTACTGCAAGTCCCATCATCCATGGTCCATCCTCCTCCAAACTGCAGTAGGATGTAGAGTGGGTCTTGCGGGCTCTGTGTGCCAAGTTTGGTCTGTATTGGTCATTTTCCGACACAGCCTCAGGCCTTTTCCCCTCTTTGACACCTCAAAGTCTTGGAATTTTCAGGCTGTCCAATCAGAGACCATATGCAAATTGTACCTCAGTGGCAACCAGTGAGAAAGCTACCAGGATTATTAGGGCCGGGCTGGTAGCACAGCTGGTTAATCAATAACTGTAATAATAAATCATTGCCGACCAAAAGGTGGCAAGTTCGATGCCCGTGTCGGGGTTGAGCTCCTGACTGTTAAATAGCCCAGCTTACTGTTGACCTAAGCGGTTCAAAAACAGCTGTGCTATGAGTAGAGAAATTAGGGACCGGTTAATGAAGCGACAGCTCCCCCTGTGGCCGAATCGAGCATAACCTCCAGGATCTGAAGTTGAAAAAACTGCCGAATGACCTCTATCTGTATGTATAATAATAATACTAATAATACTAATAATAATATTGTTGCCAAACAGCATTCATTCTACAGTGAAGATGCATCTGATCCTATGACAAGATTTATTCAAAGGTGTCTTTGCTAACCATGCCATTAGAACTTCTTCTTATCATTATCGATTATCGATTAATTATTATTAATAAGTAATAATAATAATTACTTGCATTCGTCTTATCCGCTTTCCTCGTTGCAGCTCCAGCCGGACGTACCGGGTCCTTTTGGGGAAGCAGAACTTGGTGGAGGAAGAGGCCGGGCAGGTGGCCGTGGCCGTGGAGAAGGCCATCGTCCACGAGAAGTGGAACTCCTTCTTGGTCCTGTAAGTTGGAATAGGCACCATCCAAGCCCTCCCGACGGGTGGTCACGCAGCTCATGCTTAGTAGGCATAATAACAATAACACCATAGAATGCTAGAGTTGGAAGAGACACCATCAAAGTCACTCATGCTTAGCAGGAATAGTAGTAGTAGTAGTAGTAGTAGTAGTAATAATAATAATAATAATAACAATAATAACAATAACAATAATGCCATAGAATGCTAGAGTTGGAAGAGACACCATCAAAGTCACTCATGCTTAGCAGGAATAGTAGTAGTAGTAGTAGTAGTAATAATAATAATAATAATAACAATAATAACAATAACAATAATGCCATAGAATGCTAGAGTTGGAAGAGACACCATCAAAGTCACTCATGCTTAGCAGGAATAGTAGTAGTAGTAGTAGTAGTAGTAATAATAATAATAATAATAACAATAATAACAATAACAATAATGCCATAGAATGCTAGAGTTGGAAGAGACACCATCAAAGTCACTCATGCTTAGCAGGAATAGTAGTAGTAGTAGTAGTAGTAGTAATAATAATAATAATAATAACAATAATAACAATAACAATAATGCCATAGAATGCTAGAGTTGGAAGAGACACCATCAAAGTCACTCATGCTTAGCAGGAATAGTAGTAGTAGTAGTAGTAGTAATAATAATAATAATAACAATAATAACAATAACAATAATGCCATAGAATGCTAGAGTTGGAAGAGACACCATCAAAGTCACTCATGCTTAGCAGGAATAGTAGTAGTAGTAGTAGTAGTAGTAATAATAATAATAACAATAATAACAATAACAATAATGCCATAGAATGCTAGAGTTGGAAGAGACACCATCAAAGTCACTCATGCTTAGCAGGAATAGTAGTAGTAGTAGTAGTAATAATAATAATAATAATAACAACAATAATAACAATAATGCCACAGAATGCTAGAGTTGGAAGAGACATCATCAAAGTCACTCATGCTTAGTAGGAATAATAGTAGTAGTAGTAGTAGTAGTAGTAATAATAATAATAATAACAACAATAATAACAATAATGCCACAGAATGCTAGAGTTGGAAGAGACATCATCAAAGTCACTCATGCTTAGCAGGAATAGTAGTAGTAGTAGTAGTAGTAATAATAATAATAATAATAACAATAATAACAATAACAATAATGCCATAGAATGCTAGAGTTGGAAGAGACACCATCAAAGTCACTCATGCTTAGCAGGAATAGTAGTAGTAGTAGTAGTAGTAGTAGTAATAATAATAATAATAATAACAATAATAACAATAACAATAATGCCATAGAATGCTAGAGTTGGAAGAGACACCATCAAAGTCACTCATGCTTAGCAGGAATAGTAGTAGTAGTAGTAGTAGTAGTAATAATAATAATAATAACAATAATAACAATAACAATAATGCCATAGAATGCTAGAGTTGGAAGAGACACCATCAAAGTCACTCATGCTTAGCAGGAATAGTAGTAGTAGTAGTAGTAGTAATAATAATAATAATAACAATAATAACAATAACAATAATGCCATAGAATGCTAGAGTTGGAAGAGACACCATCAAAGTCACTCATGCTTAGCAGGAATAGTAGTAGTAGTAGTAGTAGTAGTAATAATAATAATAACAATAATAACAATAACAATAATGCCATAGAATGCTAGAGTTGGAAGAGACACCATCAAAGTCACTCATGCTTAGCAGGAATAGTAGTAGTAGTAGTAGTAGTAGTAATAATAATAATAATAATAACAATAATAACAATAACAATAATGCCATAGAATGCTAGAGTTGGAAGAGACACCATCAAAGTCACTCATGCTTAGCAGGAATAGTAGTAGTAGTAGTAGTAGTAATAATAATAATAATAACAATAATAACAATAACAATAATGCCATAGAATGCTAGAGTTGGAAGAGACACCATCAAAGTCACTCATGCTTAGCAGGAATAGTAGTAGTAGTAGTAGTAGTAGTAATAATAATAATAACAATAATAACAATAACAATAATGCCATAGAATGCTAGAGTTGGAAGAGACACCATCAAAGTCACTCATGCTTAGCAGGAATAGTAGTAGTAGTAGTAGTAGTAATAATAATAATAACAACAATAATAACAATAATGCCACAGAATGCTAGAGTTGGAAGAGACATCATCAAAGTCACTCATGCTTAGTAGGAATAATAGTAATAATAATGCTAATAATAATAACAACAACAATAACAACAATAATAACAATAATAACAAAGACATCATCAAAGTCACTCATGCTTAGCAGGAATAATAGTAACAACAACAACAATAATAACAACAATAACAGTAATGCCATAGAATGCTAGAGGTGGAAGAGAAACCATCAGTAGCAATAATAATAAGAATAGTAGGAATTATTAATATTATTCCATTAGTAGGAATAATAATAATAATAATAATAATAATAATAATAATAATAATAATAGCAGGAATAATAGTAATAATAATAATAATAATAATAATAACAATAACAATAATGCCATGGATTGCTAGATTGTAAGAGACGCCATCAAAGTTACTCATGCTTTGTAGGAATAATAATAATAATAATAATAATAATAATAATAATAATAATAATGCAATAGGATGCTAGAGTTGGAAGAGATGTCATCCAAGCCCTTCCGACAGGTGGCCACTCATGCTTAGTACGAATAATAACAATAACAATAATAACAGTAATGCCATAGAACGCTAGAGTTGGAAGAGACACCATCAACGTCGCTCATGCTAAGGGTCTTTGCTTCTAAAGTGTTGCTAAAGTTCTAGTGGTGAAAATTTCAGAACTTTAACAAAACTTTCAAAATTTTATTATTATTTCATTATTGGTGATTTTTATGCTAAGCACTCAGTGGAATGTTTCCTGATTTTACTTTTGTGCTCAATGATTCTGAGCCTGACTTCTCTGCTTGTCTGACCAATGTAAATAAGTGAGCAGGGACATGCGATGGCATATACTACACCTTCAGTGGAGCAAGTAGCAAAGTGATTGATCCTGTGTTGAGTTTTAGTGTGCTCGTTCTGAAAGAACTTAGTTTGTACGAACTGTGGGCATGTGGAGCAATGGTGACAAGCATCGTTGCCTATCAGAGTAGGTTTAATGATCACTGGCTTTCACAGAAACATTAAGAGTTGGAAGAGACACCATCCAAGCCCTCCCGACAGATGGTTTCTGATTTCCGTCTCTTCTCGTTTTCCAGCAACGACATTGCGCTGCTGAAGCTTGCGGAGCACGTCTCGTTCAGCGACACCATCCAGCCTTCTTGCCTCCCGGCCGACGGCTCCTTGCTGGCCCAGGACTATCCCTGCTATGTCACCGGATGGGGGCGGCTCTGGAGTAAGGGTTCCCAAGTTTTAAGAAAGTTGGGAAAAGTGAAGATTGAAAAGTTCGCTGTGATAGCCTCTGCTAGACAAAGCAGAGCTTGGCTGGAGGAGTCATAGAGATAGGCCCCCTCGTCATAAATTTCCTCCTTTCCCTTTCTTCCTTCCATCCCACGTTCTTCTTTCTCCTCCCATCCTTCCTTCCCCTTCTTTTTCTTTCTCTTTCCTTCTTTTTCTCTTCTTTCTCTTCCTTCACCCTTCTTTCTTCCTTCCCTTTCTCTTCCTTCCTCTTTTTCTTTCTCCTTCCTTCTTTCTCTTCTTTTCCCTTTTTCCCTCTTCTCATTCCCTTCCCCTTTTCTCTTCTTCCCCTCCTCTTCCCCTTCCTTTCCTTTCTCTTCCCTTTCTCTTCCTCTTCATTTTTCCTTTCTCTCTCTCTCTTATCACCTGCATCTTGTTCCGACCTTCTCCCCCTGTCGTCTCATACATTCTAAATCTTCTCTCATCTCTCTTCTTTCTGTCCTCCTTTACTTTCCTCTCCTTCACAGTGCTCACTGATTGCAGGTCTTGGTGGGCCCCTTTTCCTTTATCCTTCCTTTCTTTTTTCTTCCTTTTTCTCTTTCTCTTTTTCATCATAAGAACTCTCATACTTCCTCCTTCCCTTTCTCTTCTTTTCCTTTTCCCTCTTCTTTACATTTCTCCCTTCCCTTTCTCTCCCTTCCTTCCCTCCTTTTTCTTTCTCCTTCCTTCCTTCCTTCCTTCTTTCTCTTCTTTTCACTTTCTTCCCTCCTCTCATACATTTCCTCCTTCCCTTTCTCTTCCTTCCTTCCCTCCTTTTTCTTTCTCCTTCCTTCCTTTTCCCCTCTTCTTTTCACTTTCTTCCCTCCTCTCATACCTTTCCCCCTTTCCTTTCCCTTCCTTCCCTCCTTTTCCCTTCCTTCCTTTCCCTTTCTCCCTTCCCTTTCTCTTCCTTCCTTCCCTCCTTTTTCTTTCTCCTTCCTTCCTTTTCCCTCTTCTTTTCACTTTCTTCCCTCCTCTCATACCTTTCCCCCTTTCCTTTCCCTTCCTTCCCTCCTTTTCCCTTCCTTCCTTTCCCTTTCTCCCTTCCCTTTCTCTTCCTTCCTTCCCTCCTTTTTCTTTCTCCTTCCTTCCTTTTCCCTCTTCTTTTCACTTTCTTCCCTCCTCTCATACCTTTCCCCCTTTCCTTTCCCTTCCTTCCCTCCTTTTCCCTTCCTTCCTTTCCCTTTCTCCCTTCCCTTTCTCTTCCTTCCTTCCCTCCTTTTTCTTTCTCCTTCCTTCCTTTTCCCTCTTCTTTTCACTTTCTTCCCTCCTCTCATACCTTTCCCCCTTTCCTTTCCCTTCCTTCCCTCCTTTTCCCTTCCTTCCTTTCCCTTTCTCCCTTCCCTTTCTTTCCTCCTTTCATTCCCTCCCTCCTTTTCTTTCCTTCCCTCTTCCCTGTCTTTTTCCTTTTCTTCCTTCTGTCCTTCCCCTTTCCTTTCCCTTCCTTCCCTCCTTTTCCCTTCCTTCCTTTCCCTTTCTCCCTTCCCTTTCTCTTCCTTCCTTCCCTTCTTTTTCTTTCTCCTTCCTTCCTTTTTCTCATTCTTTCTTTCCTTTCTCCAACTCTGAGAGGGTCATGCTCACAATGTCAGCGTGGCTCTTTCCTTCCTTTCTCCTCTCACACATGGGTCAGTTTTCTGACCTGTGTGACATCACAGGGGGCCACTTCACCCAGAAACAGCCAATGCGGTGACATCACAAGAGGCCTCTGGGTTGACACCTAGCGACACCCAAACAGATAGCGACCTATGCAGATGCTGATGGATGGCACGTCCCAGCCTTCCTTCCGCCACCATCACTGTGCCGTGGATGATGGGAATTGCAATCCGTGTCTGTTCCTTCCGCAGCCAATGGGCCGATTGCGGATGACCTCCAGCAAGGCCTGCTCCCGGTGGTGGACCACGCGACCTGCAGCAAGTGGGACTGGTGGGGCTCCATGGTCAAGACCACCATGGTCTGCGCCGGAGGAGACGGGAAGATCTCCGGGTGCAACGTAGGTCACGGAGGGGACCCCAAAGGCCATCCAGTCCAACCCCTTTCTGATGCGGAGGAAGGCAGAATTACTATAATATTATTATCCATTATTATCTATTATCTATTATTATTATTCTTTATCATTATTATTATTATTATTATTATTGTTATTATTATTACTATGATTATTATTATCTATGATTATTATTATCTATTATTATTATTGTTATTGTTATTGTTGTTATTATTATTATTATTATTATTATTATTAGGGACCCCAAAGGCCATCCAGTCCAACCCCCTTCTGCTAGGGAGGAAGGCAGAATCACTATAATAATATTATTCATTATTATCTATTATTATTATTATTATTATTATTATTATTATTACTATTATCTATTATTATTATTATTATTATTATTATTATTATTAGGGACCCCAAAGGCCATCCAGTTCAACCCCCTTCTGTTACGGAAAGAGACAGAATTACTATAATATTATTATCCATTATTATCGATTATTATTATTATTATCTATTATTATTATCATCATCATCATCATCATCATTATTATCGATTATTATTATTATTATCTATTATTATTATTATCTATTATTATCTATTATTATTATTATTATTATCATCATCATTATTATTATTAGGGACCCCAAAGGCCATCCAGTTCAACCCCCTTCTGCTAGGGAAGGAGACAGAATTACTATAATATTATTATCCATTATTATCTATTATCTATCATTATTATTATTATTATTATTATTATTATTATTATTATTAGAGTTGGAAGGGACCCCAAAGGTCATCTAGTCTAACCCCCTTCTGCAAAGGAGTACAATACAATTATTTACTTGCTCTTGGTACTGCTGTCCTTTTCCTTTTTCCTTTTTCTGTTATTATTTATTATTATCTATTATTATTATTATTATTATTATTATTATTATTATTATTATTATTATTAGAGTGGGAAGGGACCCCAAAGGCCATCTAGTCCAACTTCTTCCTACCAGGCATGGATAGAATTACTAATATATTATTATTATTGAGTATTATTACATTATTATTATTATTATTATTATTATTATTATTATTATTATTAGACTCATAGAGTTGGAAGGTACCCCAAAGGTCATCTAGTCCAACCCCCTTCTACCAGGCATGAAGATAGAATTACTAATATATTATTGTTGTTGTTGCTGTTGTTGTTGTTGTTGTTGTTGTTATCATCATCATTATCATAATGAATAATCATATAGTAATAATAATAATAATAATAATAATCATTATTATTATTAGACTCATGGTGTTGGAAGGTACCCCAAAGGTCATCCAGTCCAACCCCCTTCTACCAGGCATGGATAGAATTACTAATATATTATTATTGAGTATTATTACTATATTATTATTATTATTATTATTATTATTATTATTATTATTATTAGACTCATAGAGTTGGGAGGGATTCCAAAGGCCATCCAATCCAACCCCCTTTCTTCCAGGCATGAAGATAGAATTACTAATATATTATTATTGCATATGATTACATTATTATTATTATTATTATTATTATTATTATTATTATTATTAGAATTGGGAGGGACCCCAAAGACCATCCAGGCCAACCTCTTTCTACCAGGCGTGGATAGAATTACTAATATATTATTGTGTATATTATTATTATTATTATTATTATTATTATTATTATTATGAGTTGGAAGGGACCCCAAAGGCCATCTAGTCCAACCTCTTCCTACCAGGCATGGATAGAATTACTAATATATTATTATTGAATATTATTACT